TGCCAAGCCACCAAAGAAAAAAGTGAAATCAAGAGAGAAGAAAATGTCAAAGGAGAAGTCCTCAGACATTACCAAAGAGTCAGGACCTCCAGATTCCATTAGTATTTCTGCCAGCAAGAACATTTCTGGTGAGGTGCCGGAGGGTATAAAAGCAGAACCATTGACTCCCACAGAGGATGCACCACCACCCAGCCTATCAGGACAGGTCAAGCCTGAGGACAATGACTATCACAGAAAAACAGAGACCTGTGGCTCCAGGAAAGGAGGTATTGCAAAAGTGCCCTTTATAAAACCCTGGTGTCTGAGGGCATGCTCACCTCTCTGTGAGCTAGTGTTGACAGAGGTAAATGAAGCTTGGGAAAAGGCAACTCCTCTGATCATGAAGGGTGTTGGGGTGAAGAGAGCTGGACATTTAACCAGTGTGGGACCAGTGGGAATAAGAAGTTCAAGAAAACAAAGCTAAAAGAAGACTCTTTCATTGGCTCAGCAAGGCTGGATGAAGAATTTGAAAAGAAATTCAACAGCCTTCCTCAACATAGTCCTGTTACTTTTGACCAGAAATGTGTACCTGTCCCAAGAAAAAAGAAGACTGGAAATGTGTCCTCAGAACTGACTAAAACCAGCAAAGGTACTTTCCAGTCTCAGAAAAAGAACTTATTCCACAAAATTGTCAGCAAATATAAACACAAAAAGGAGAAGCCTAATGTTCCAGAAAAAGGAAGTGGGGATAAATGGTCAAACAAGCAACTATTCTTGGATGCCATTCACCCTACAGAAGCCATATTTTCAGAAGACAAAAACACCACGGAGCCTGCTTATAAGGTTAAAAATGCCCTATCCATTCCCAACACTCCAGAACCAACAACGCAAGAACCTTTGGTGGGCAGCCAAAAGAGAAAAGCAAGGAAAACCAAGATCACACACCTTGTCAGGACAGCAGATGGCCGGGTATCACTTTGGATGACAAACCAAAGGAGCAACTGCAGAGGAATCTCCCTAAAGCGGCCAAGACAGACTGCAGTGACGAATGTGCACACACCACTGAGGTAGAGGAAATGCGAAGCAGCACTCCAGAAATGCCTGCTGTATCTGCATTCTTTAGCCTTGCTGCACTGGCTGAAGTGGCAGCCATGGAAAATGTGCACAG